GTGGTGTGGCCATCCCCGCTGGGGGGGTGATTTCTTGCTTTCTGTGTCTCTGTCTCTCTCTGTCTTTCTGGAGAGGACACACGCCCTATAGCAAAAACCTCTCCAAAAAAAAAAAAAACCAAACCCAAAAATAAAAACAAAAACAAAAAAGAGAAAAAAATGTATAAAATAATATTTCTGCTCTCAAATTTATAGTCTAACTTAAAGGCCAAGGGGAACTGAATCTGTCTATCACCAAAGCAGGAACTACAACTCTGATTTTGTCCCGTGACTGTACCACCGCTGCATCTGTCAAGACTCAACAGCACCATCTACTGTCCCCCCTCAGATCTGCCGGGTCTTACCAGAACGCTTGGTGGCCATTGGTGTAACATTAGTCCAGTGTCCAGTATGGGGATCGTATTTCTCAACTGAGTTTAAGATATTTAGACCATCATATCCCCCTGGAAGACAAAGTAGAGACGATTCCAGAAAGAGTGGTAAAGCCTCCTGTCCATTCCCCACTGGCCTTCCTCTGAGCACTTTAATGACTTATTCTACTTTCAGTTCTACCACAAAGCTCAAATAACCTGAAGAAAAACCTGACAGTACTCTGCTTTCTGCTTACCAGAAAAAGACAGTCCCAGGTGATGGAAGATATATCCGATAGACCAGGGTTTTAGCTGAAGAAAATCTATGAACTTAACTCTATTAAAAGGTGATCCTCACCCCGAGTCCACCTCCCACTGATTCTTCTCCCCATCCTGAACCCAGCTGCATACCCAGACAGTAGATCACTCCACTGGCCACTACGAGTCCAGCGCCTTCCCGAGCTGTCTGCATATCGCCCAGCATGCTCCACTGATCAATATTTGGGTCATATCGCTCCATACTGGTATGACGCCTGCTTCCGTCAAAGCCTCCGGAGACATAGATCATGTCTGCTCAGAATGAACGAATTAGACACTATTAGAGAAGGGGAGATTTTGTCTGTTTGTTTTCATTTTTGCTCTGGGGTATGTGTGCACACCGGAGACAGGCAGAGACAGGGAAAGTGAGAAGTCACCCCCTGGGAACATGGCATGCCACAATCCTGTCTCCATTCTCCTCTAGGGATTTTCGGCGTGCGCACACACATGTGCCTTGCATGGTTCTCAAGCTAGGTCTAGGACTTGAACCATGGAGTCGAACATGTGGGATCCTAAGCTTTAACCTCTATGTTATCTGCTGGCCTGAGAAGGGAAGGTCTGTAAGAACTTTTTCCTCTATAAATTTCCCACAAGATCTTTTGAATGTGTAGAAACAAAAACAAAACCGTTTTTTTAGAAAGTAATTTGTGCAAGGATAAGAGACTTTATTCTTTTTTAATGATTTATTTTTAATTTTATTTATTCATTCATTTATTTTAATTTGACCAGAGACAGACAGAGAAAGAGCGAGAGAGAGAAAGTGAGAAAGCAAGCCACCAGGTCCAGGACTTGAACTGTGGTCGGCCATGTGGGCGTGTCCAGCACCTAAACCACCATGCCACCTGCTGGTCCCCAAAACAAAATATTTTTATAGGGACCAGCAATTAGCGTAATGGCTATGTCGCTGGACTCCTACATAGTCAACCACAGTTTGAGTCCCGGACCCGGTGGCTTAAACTCATGCGGGGCACGTGTGCGTGCGTGCCCAAGATACTGAGAGGAGAATGGAGGAGAAGGGGTTGCAGCATGGCCATCCCCCCGAGGGGGTGATTTCTCACTTATTTCTCTCTGCTTCTCTCTGTCTGGATGGCAAGTGCACACGCCCTATAGCAAAAACCTCTCCAAAAAAAAAAAATGTTTACAGAATGAATCAATTAACATTTTTTCCCAAAAAGTTTATTTTAGCCATTACGGTGATTGCCTTTGTGCATTCACAAGGAAGAACCGCCTTTTGGCCGGAACCGCCATCTTCCAGTAATTAACCAAAATGACGAACACAAAGGGAAA